TAGCCAAGATCCGCTCCGCCGGTTTCTTCTTCTTCTTCTTCTTCGACGCTCCGGCACCCATCTTTGGGAGAGCCAAGATTCGTTCGATCGACCGCTCTACCGGTTTCGTCTTCTTCTTCGACGCTCTCTTCTTCTTCTTGGGTTTCGGTTTCTTCGCTGCCACCGTCTTGTTTAGACCCATTCCGAGTTTGGCTTTGAGTTTAATAGCGTTCGTTACGGCGTATGCTGCCGCTCTTTCACCAAACGATGAGTTGGACGCTTTCACACGTTCCCAAGCTCTGTCCGCAAGTATGAGATCGGCTTTGTTCCTCTCGGTGGTGTCTTTGGTCTTACTGTAAGCGATGTCGTGGGACTTGCAAGCTTCGTCGAGCGGATTTATACCCGGATCTCCACGTTTCAATCGTTCTGCGAGGCGAGTGCCCGGTCCGCAGTACCTGTAGTCGCCCGGTAAATGTAGTTCGAACGGTAGTAAATTTATCAACGAGTTTAACAGTCCACGTCCTCGATTGGTTTTGCTGCAAGTTGATGTTCTTCTCGGTGACATACTCTGACGAAAATGTCCATTCTATTTAGACGGAGAAGTAAAACAAAAATAACTGTCCGATAAATAGGGAACGAATACGATGCGACTCGTCAAGCAAAGAAAGTCACTGCGAGTCCGGAACCTCGACAAACGGAAGAAGCAAAATGAAAACCGACGACAACGACGACGACATAGTGAACTGTTACCGAACAGTATCCGTTGCATTGTCGTTGGACCGTCCAACTGCGGTAAAACAAACGTGATGGTTTGCTTGCTACAACATCCGAACGGATTGAAGTTCCGCAACGTGTACTTGTACTCCAAGACACCGTTCCAACCCAAGTACGAAGAACTGCGTCAGATATTCGACGGAATCGACGGTCTCGGATACAACGTCTATTCGGACACGGCCGAGATTGTTCCACCAAACGATGCCGCATCAGACTCGGTCTTCATTTTCGATGATGTCGCTTGTGACAAACAAAATGCGATGCGGGAATATTTCAGTATGGGAAGACACAGCTCGGTCGACAGTTTCTACTTGTGTCAAACTTATTCTCGCATACCGAAACAATTGATTCGCGATAACGCTAACCTGCTCGTAGTTTTCAAACAGGACAATACAAACTTGCGACACATCTACGACGATCACGTCAACACAGATTTCACGTTCGAAGATTTCAGACACATCTGCTCGGTGTGCTGGCAGGACAAGTACGGGTTTTTAGTCATCGATAAAGATAGTAATAAGAACGAGGGAAGGTACCGGAAAGGCTTCGATACTTTTATTGAACAAGATGGATAACTTATCGTTGTCGACGATCGCTCAGAAATACGGTAGTATCGATAAAATCCGTCAAGATATCAAACGGAAGTTAAATACCATTCGCACCGGAGAGGCGGACGCTCAGGTGACGTTGAAGAAAGTTTTCAAACCGTTGACAGATCCGCTCGCAGCGTTGCAGAAAACTGTGTCGTCGTCGTCGTCAACTCCCGCACTTGTCGCTGCTCCTCAGGAAAAGAAAACCAAGATCGAAGCTTCAAAATCGGAAACGAAAGATGGAACAACGTTTGTTGATAGTTTATTTGCTTCGTTCGGATCACCGAAAAATATAAACAACGATGATGATGATGATGATGATGATTCAAAGGAGGATGATGATGATGATGACGATGATGAATCGTTCCAAGATGCAACGGGTAAAGAACAAACAACGAGTCGCACTGAAGACGATGACGTCGATTCTCGAAACACAATCACTGCCCCGCACGTACAGTTCTACTTGGACGATCTGGAGAAACAACCGAAACAATCCGATACCACGTATGGTGTGCGGAAAGCAATCAACGGAAACTATCTTATCGGAAACCGAACCATAAGTTTCGATTCGGACGGACGACTAATCTTGGACGGTGGCGATGAGGTGTTCGAACCGACACCCGGGTTCTTGGAGCTTATTTTTAAGAAACATCCGCGTAATTACACAGCAGATGATCGTGCTAATTTCCAACGAGTAGTTACGCTCACCAATGCGCATTGGAGGAATCACCATCCACACGGTAGACCCAACTCGAACCGCAGTCAAAAATACCGCGATCTCATCAAACCTTTGTTCGCTACATCTACTCCGAGATCAACGAGGAAGTCATCGCGTAAAAAATTGAAGAAAGGCTCCGGTATGAAAATTCACCGTGCGAAACGGGAACTCGTCTATTGGGACGATCCGAACGAATTGGTCCAACGTCTCGTTTTACTTGTAGCTTCGAAACAAGCTGGTCACACCGATCACGATCGTGAAATTCTGAGTATCGTCGAAGAGCTTCGCGAAGCAGATTACATCCACTAAATATAGGTTCCGCACAAAAATGAGTCACACCGACCGGTTTGGAAGATCGAAAGGAACTTACGTTCGCAACACGAAGCAAGGTCTCAAAGGTGACGGTTTCTTACTGGATCCCGACGGAAATTATCTCGTATCCAACAAACGGATCCGACAACTGCAAGATCCCGAAGAGGATACCGACGCCGTGAACAAACAATGGACAGACTCGAGGTGGACGGAAGCTATGAATTTAGCACAGCTTTGTTTGGAGAGAATGGAAGAATACAAAAGTATCGCGCAACGACTCGAGACGAAATTATCACGACTGGAAAATAGAATCAGTCAACTAGAGGTTGTGAATCGAATGAAAGGAAAATAGTGTTGCGATGAGTCACACGGACGGTTTTGGCCGATCGAAATTCCGCCGCGGTCCAAAAGGTGACGGATTCTCACTGGATTCCGACGGAAATTATATCGTATCGAACAAACGGATTCGTCAAGTGCAAGATCCCGAAAGCGATGAGGATGCGGTGAACAAACAATGGTCCGAACGGAAGTGGAAGGAAGCCATGAAATTAGCTCAACACTGTCTGGAGCGTATCCACCAACTTCAGCAATCTTACAATCGTCTGGTTAAAATAGTAGCAACGAAACAGCATTTGAATCGAGAGAGCGGACGACGTCGACGGTAATTATCATGTCGGCAGAAAAACGTGGGATCGTCGAGGAGCTACATAAACCTGCACGACGAAACTATCCGCGTCGTAAAGTACGGATTCTCGGATTGTTCGATTTATGGCAAGCCGATCTCGTCGAGATGCAACCGTACGCCTCGGTCAACAAAGGATACAGATATCTCCTCACCGTCATCGACGCGTGCTCGAAAAAGGCGTGGGCCGAACCGCTCAAATCGAAAACGGCCACCGATGTCACTTTTGCTCTGCAACGCGTTCTCAAAGCAGCCGGAAAGTCACCGAAACATTTACAAGTCGACATGGGCTCGGAATTCTACAACTCCAAATGTCAGGCATTGATGAAGCGTCACCAGATCAATATGTACAGCTCGTTCTCGACAACCAAAGCCTCCATTGTGGAGCGATTCAACCGAACGCTCAAAACTAAGATGTGGAAAGAGTTCAGCGCGCAAGGATCTTACAAGTGGGTAGATCTATTACCGAAACTCATCCGTGAATATAACGGGAGCGTTCATCGCACAATCGGGATGAAACCAATCGATGTCACCGAAAAGGATGTACCGATGATCCTGCAAAAGCTTCGTGGGCCGCCGCTGAGTAAAATTGAAAAGAGACGTCTGGCCAGACGAAAACTGAATGTCGGTAATCACGTCCGGATCTCGAGACTCAAAGCCATGTTCGAGAAAGGATACACACCGAATTGGAGCACGGAAATTTTCAAGATTGTCAGCGTCAATCCAACCGTCCCGGTCACGTACGATCTGAAAGACGCGCACGATACGATCATCAAAGGAAAATTCTACCGCGAAGAACTCCAACCCACCAACTATAAAGATACGTTCCTGGTGGAGAAAATTCTGCGTCGCAAGAAAAACCAGGTATTTGTCAAATGGTTGGGTCTGGACGCGAGTCACAACAGTTGGATCGATAGTAAGGATTTCGTGTAAATAATATGCAACGTGTTTGCGTTTTTTAAACATGTTTGCGTTTTCTAAACGTGATTGCGTTTTCTAAACGTGTTTGCGTTTTCAAAACGTGTTTGCGTTTTCGAAACGTGTTTGCGTTTTCTAAACGTGTTTGCGTTTTCGAAACGTGTTTGCCTTTTCTAAACGTGTTTGCGTTTTCTAAACGCGAACTGTTTTTAAACTGTAACTGTAACTGTAAATATCCAATAAAAAAAATAATAAAAATTTTTGATTCATCTAACTGAACATTGTAATATCCATTCCCAGTCGCTCATCGCAAAACACACAAGGTTCCCATACGCATCTCCAAGCGCACACTAGTAAAAAATTTGAAATTCCCGAATCAGACCCTATTCTCCAGTATCCGATACCAGGCCCACACTACAAGATACGGTCTTCCGAAGCCGAAAATTTTTACAAGTCCGAAATCTCGAAAACGAAAAGTCGTATCGAAATTCGGTCCGTACAGTTTTCCGATCTTCGATAATGGAAAAGAATCGCATCGGTCCGCAACGGATCGGAGGATGGTGATTTTCCGAACAATTTTCAATTTTACCGAATCAGACCCTAATCTACACTATCCGATACCGACCCATATTGCAAGATACGGTCTTCCGAAACCAAAAAATTTTACAAGTCCAATAATCCGAATTTTTTGCACAATCTGGCAACACTGTACGGAAAAAATCAACTAATTTCTCGCCCCATCTGGCAACACTGTAAAATTTTATGTTGCAAAGTTTCACCAATAAATAAATCATTTATTTACGTGCCCCGTTCGGCAACACTGCTGCGCCATCTTGAAAAATACACCATTGCATAACCCGCAAAATGAAGGGGCAACATTACACCATTACATAACCCGCATATAGAAGGGGCAACATGCAATACTTTCTTTTTACAGCGTTGCCATATTGAACAATAATCCCTATACAACGCTGTAATTTAATTCATATTTTTCTGCACAATCATGCAACGCTGTTGGATAATTTACTGGGCTCAAATTCCTGTTTTCTCCCTACTTGTGAGGGCTGGCGGCTACCTTCTTGCTGGAAAATGAGTCTCCTGGCTTCCAAAGTGCGCTTTATTTTTTCTTTCAGCTCCGAAGAATGCTCACCACTGTTTTGTAGATACAGTAAATCCTCATTTACACCTCTATTTCCTACAACAAAGAAAATAATTGGTTTGAATAATATGAATTAAAGTCGTGCTGTGTAAAATTTACTCTCCAAAACCCAAAAGGGTAGAGATCGCGGTCTATTCATTACATAAAACCTGGTAAGCGACTTCAAACTGCAATAGTTTAAAGGACTGATATCTACAGGGATCCTTTTTTCCTCTTTCCCTCCGGATTAACAGAACCACCACCTATGGAAGGACCAAATTAATCATGCTTTCAAACTCCTTAAAATTTCCCTCGATGCAACCAGCTCACCTCTGCAGCTTGTTCAGTTGTCTGTGCAAGCGAGGAATCGGTAATTAGGTGAATTGTTTAAGTTTCATGTTATTAAAATGTATTCCTATAAACTACAAAAAAATTGGATAAGAGGAAAATACCTACCAATAAAAGTAGCTTCATTTGTTTCAATCCTTTTCCTTTTCTTCGTCCCAGGAATGAGTCCTTCGGCCATAAAAGTACGTCTTATACGCTTATATGCATCATAAAGCTTTCCCTTCGCATTATGTTTCTTTCCTAAACCATCTTTTGGTGCATATGGTATATAGTATGTGCTCTCATTCTCCGTTGGGAAGCATTTACATATTGCTGAAGCAATACTGAGAAAGCGGAGAGACGAGATCTTGTGTGATGGATCTTCGAACAGCTCAGCATTTACAAGGATTGTTGCCAATTGGCATCTTTTTTTGTCATCATCTAAAGTCTTATGCGTATCATAGTATAGCAGTACACTCCTTCCAAGTCCATCAGTTGATCTAACTAAGTGTTTACGGACCCAACTTGCAACCAGATTAAATAAGTCAATTCCATTTTCATCATTATCATCATCATTCAAAATGACTCTACCTGATGGAATAGATGATGTCGACAAAATGGTTGACATGAGAGGCAAAACATCAGCTGTGGAAACTGAGACTGTGGTGGCTACATTACTAGCTAAACTACTCATGCTACTACAACTGCTAGGTGCACTTGGTACTGTAAATACTATCGGAGAAATACTAGAGTTAGGAGAAGCAACTATAGTTGTCGGAGGAGTAGAGGTAGTTATAAGTACTGAGGAGACTGTTTGGGTAGTCGAGGCAATGGATGAAGTGATCACAACAGGAGTCGAAGTCATTTCAGAAGAGCTTGCAACAGGAGTCGAAGCCATAGCGGGAGAGCTCTCAACAGGAGTCGAAGTTTGTCGGGCAGAGGGACTTTTGAACACTTGATCAACAGAGGATTCGATTGAGGTATCTGAATCCGCGTTCTTAGACTGTTTTTGGGCCTCACTTTTTTCAGTCACAGATGAGCGGCTAAACGTCTGTTGTAAAATAGACATATTCGATGCGGAGTTAGATAAGGTATTGGAACCATCACTATTAAATTGTTCAGTGGCAGTAATATCTTTAAGCACAGATGAATGGGTCAACATCTGCTGTAAAGTGGACTTCTTTGTGGTTGCAGATGATGGCCCAGCACCATTTGAGAATTCACCAGATTCACTAGATTCACCAAATAATGCTTTGCGACTGCCCAGCTCCCGCACAAGATGTTCTTTTAGGGGCTGCAAAAATAATTACCATTCTGCATTGTATTAAAATAAAAACTATTATCTAACTAGGCTGATTGCCATGAAGGGAGTCATATCCGGAAAGTTCAGAAGTGACAGGACATCAACAGTCTCTGTAAGAAGCACTGTCTGCTGCTTCTTCAGAAATGAGATAATTTTCTCCTATTTTGCATATAAATGTCTGTAGCGCAAAGAGAGAGCGCTCGCCTTTGGTTCTTGGATAATTCCTCACTCAGTGTAGCTATTTTATGGCATTTTGACAAGAGTGACTCACACACTTTTGTTAGATGGCACTCATCTGCACACACAAAGAAGCAAACGGTGACTTGTCTTACCTTTTTATCATCTACTATCACCACGTTATGAAACTAGCTACACCCTCAGCAATGTTATTAGACACAAAGTAGACTCTCCAGATAGGTCTTCCTTCATGGGCTAACCTATTCAATTCATCTACATTGTGACTAAGCTACTAGCTACTAGTGCATTCCGGATGGCAAGCTAAGCTGTTCGCCAGGCCACCTAATGAGACGCTCAAGGACCCTTCTACCGAAGTGCTCCCAACCAATACTACAGTGCTGGTTTTGTCAGGGGCTTGTCGAGCAGCACATCAGGCATCCTGATGAGCAGTTTGGCATGCCATCTGAATGCGCCTTAAGTACAATATGATCAAACTAGAGCAATGACAAAAATGTATACGCTACTCTAAGAAATCGGACTGCATCCATCTAATATTCTACAGTCATAGAGGAATTTAAGGAGCCAAAAAGAGTTCTTGATTCTCTACACTGCTGCTGAGTTTAGCATTAACATTTCTTTCAGTAAAGGTTAAGTTTTCATCAACTGAAATTTTGGCAACGCATGCGAAGGTTGCTGCATTGCTTTCCACACTAGAATTTTTAAAAGAGATACCACTTGCATTAGTAACCTTCAACTCACCAAACAGCTGAGATTAATCCGACAGTGGGACTCTCTAACTTAGAATCCCCTTCGTGATTTGGAGGTTAAGCCCAGGTTAAACGGGAGCTCATGGTATTCATCTTAGGTATAGCTTCAAAATCAAGAAGAACATTCTAAGTTGAATAGTATGCTAATCAACTGAAGGCAAATTCAGGTTCTAGATGACACGAAGTCCATTGTTGAAGTACGCTCGTTACTCAGAAAAACAAAATCACCAATCCGACGGCCTATTAAAATCTGACCGTAGACTCGGAACTTGCGTTCTGTTGGGCAACAAGGCGACTTCACAAACACAAGAAAATTTGAATCATTACAGCAGTGAAGAACGAAGAATGACACTCCCTTATGAAGGAAAGCTACTGAATAAATAAGACTGCAGATTTTCCACGGTGCGCTTTGTCAAACAGCTCGTAGGCCTGTCATGTCTAACACCAAGCAGTGCGCAGTAAGAAATATGAAATGTTTAGAACCAAACCAAAGTATCTACCATCATTACGCAATTAAGAGATAACCAAGAAGTACTTACAGCATTGGCACCAGACGGTGGAGAATCCATTAATAAAGCCATTGTCCTCTCCGAAACTCCAGACGGGCAGCTACTTGTGTCACTTTCGTATTCGTAAGTGGGATCTACATCCGAAAAAGCCTCATCCGATTCGGTATCGTGCTCCACGCTATCTTCTAGGAGGGCAGCCGCGATTATTTTAGCAGCTCTAGACATTAGGGCAGTAAGCTTTAAAATTGCACATTCACGTTGAGAATCACCACACTTTCCACTCACTTACACTTAGTCAAGACAAAAGAAAGGCGCCACGGCCAAGCCACGAGGAATCGAGGAGTCTGCGTTTCTTTGTTGCGAGGAGACAAGCGAGGAGAGGGCAGAAGAGGTTAACAAGGAACGCAACCGCTAATCTTTGAAATTGCACTGAGCTTCGAAGGAAGGTCAACACTCTAACCCGTAAAATAGGGCTATAATTTTCTATTATGTGGGATTTTTCCGCCCCTGTTAGTTTCTAAAATACATATTGTGACCTTAAGATATTAGTAAAAGTCATTAATCCGTTTCAAATTTTACGTCACTTCATGCGAATTTGATATGTTGTAACTTCAACAGTTGGCATGCGTGACGTCAACTGAACGTCAACTGAACGTGGGCGCGCAGGCGCAGCAGCCAGCAACCGCGAACTTTCAAATTTCCACACGAAATCGACCCAAGACAAGATGTGTGTGCCTATACCTGAGGCTAGGAAATAATATTTACAAGTACCTTGCTTATTGTACCTCTCTTTAAGAGCGGATACATCAGCGGTCAGAGAATAAAGTTATTTTAATAAATAAATATGCGCACGATGAAAAATGTATTCGAAATTTCTTTCATCGAGAAATTTCCATAAATCCCCAGCGTCTTTCAGCGTATCCATGAGCTGTAAAGAAATGCCACAAATATTCCTGATAATTATTTTTCCTCCATGCAGTGTTATCCCTTATGAAAAAGTATAAAATAAAAAAAAAAAAAAAAAAAAAAAAAAAACTTTCTATGATTTTACTTCTTTTTTGGAACCTACTACGTTAATAAATTCGCCGGTCAAAACAGTAAGTAGTGCAGTAGCATTTTTTGCATAGATTCCAATCTCCACCCATTAAAGTTCAGCAGGGTTGCAATTTTTCATGAAATTTTGAAATTTCACGTGCAATATTTCTTGAACTTTCAGACGTTTTTGAAAAATATTGAAATATACCCGTTCCTTATCATGTTTCGCAAACCGTAAAAATTGCGACTGTCCTCTATTTTTGTGTATTTGAGCGCGGGTTGTATTCTCTAATCCCTGAAAAATATGAAATATTTCACAGCCTCCTGAATTTTCATAAAATATCTCAGGGAAATGTCTAATCTTTCATATTTTTCATTACACGCGTGCAACCCCTAAGTGCACACATCACATGCTTAAAGTGCAGAAACACGTATACTTATATTTGGGGCGCTGTAATGTCCCATAGGTTTTTTAAACGCATTTAGCGCAATCGAAATTAAATAAGTGGGGGTGAGGGAGGGTTGGGAGTGGAGGGAGAGGGGAGGGGAGT